CCGGAGTTAAACCACGACACCATGGTATTTGAATTTCATTATGTGTGTAGGAGCTTTGTAACGTTCATCCAGAAAGAGTGGTCAAACACTAGAACGGGTTGCCAAGGGATGATGTAGAATCTTCGTCCTTGGAGATCTCCACAATACCCTGGACAATGTCTGAACAAGACAGTGTAACTTCAGAGCTTGACCCTGCTTTGAGTGCTGTGTTGGACCAGATACCCTCCAGGAGCCTTTCCAACCTGGGTTATTCTGTAATTTTATGAAAATTACATAAATTTTATGAAAGTTACATAAGCAAATGCATTTACAGGCCTTAATAATTCCCCATAACTGTGTTAAACTGTAAACAGGAAAGCGAAGTAAATACCCACTTTTTGCATGTCGTAAAGGCAACTTAGCTCACCCCTCCAAGGCCCTATAGCCAGAGGCTTGTTGGAGCCATGTTATGGTTTTGCTTTTTCCATATAAATGTATTTTTGGAATTAGGCACAAAGGTCAGGGACACTGAGGCTGGAGTGCTAATTCACACTTGTTTGGATTTGAAGTGTGCTGCTATCTGAAAAACTTTTTATTTTGTTTTATAGTTGAAACAAATCAGTTACAGTTGTTAATGGAAAGTCAGAAAGTCTTCATACAAAAATATCACCATCCATGCTACTAGATGAAAATGGAGAGAGCACGCTTTAATAAGGATCCTTTAAGAGTGAGAAGGAAAATATAGTAGTTTGTTGTGGTTTTGAGCGATTCTAGTTTTGTTGTCATGGACTTAGCCTTTGGCCACACTTTTGGAATCCTGGGCTTTTTTACATTGCCATAAAATATGTACAAGTCATTTGTCATAAATGAGAAACCATTTCTGATAGGTACGTATTTTTTCAAGGACTAAATCTCCAGTGTGTTTGAAAAGCCTTTGAGGAAGGAGCTCAGGCAGACTAGACCACAAGTTCCCTTACCTGTGTTGAATATTGAGGGCTCTGTGGAAATGTTCTCTTAAAATATTATAATTCTAACATTGATTAGAGCTAATTATCTATGGTAAATTGCTTTTTCCAAGTCTGGGAAGGGGGTGGTGAGGTGGAATACTTCTGTATAAACTGCTTATGAGGACAAGCTCTTACGTTTGTAGTTTTCACAGCGCTGTGACAAGAACCTCCTAAACCCAAGAACGATATTATGTCTCTTTCACTGAACACCTTCTTATCCTCTACAACAATTTCAGTACCTGAGCTTTAGAAAGGGGCAGGAAATATATCATCCGGATCCCTCACTCTCTGCCATCTGACTTTCTGTTGTCTCCAAGAGCTGAGCTATACCAACAGGTTTCAGATGAGAGACCTCACAGTCCTTCTGTGTCAGGAAAGTGGCATGGAAGGGGGAGTTGTCTCCCAGGCACGGCTTCCACCAGAGCTTTTGGTTCTCCTTAGGCTGAATCTTCTCAAGACTCAAAGCAAGAAGGGAGCAGCGCTGGGCTGTTGGGCTGCAGTGTAGTGGAGCTCCTTGCAGAGCCCTGCGAATGCGAGTGAAGGGCTGGTTTGCACGTAGGAGCTGCTGTCAGTTACCGACGGCCTTGCTGAGGAACAGTCCTTGCATCTGAGTGTTAGGTCTTACTCCGTGAGAAAAGATGATGTATTTTGCCTAACTACTGCTCTATACTACATAAAATTGGTGGTTAAAACTCATAACGTGTATTGTTGTTTTCTTTTTGTGACTTCTTTCCAGGTATCACTGCCCAGTGCCTAAAATTTTCTATGTCCAGTTAACTGTTGGCAACAGTGAGTTTTTCGGTGAAGGAAAGACTCGTCAAGCTGCTAGACATAATGCTGCAATGAAGGCCCTTCAAGCTCTCCAGAATGAGCCTATTCCAGAAAAATTACCTCAGGTTTGTGTTTCAGAGAACTGTTCCTAATCCTCGTGTTCAACTACCAAATCGAACAATTTAATTGCCAGTTTTTCAGTGTTTAGTTTTTGTGGGGTTTTTTTTCATATTAGCCTCAGTAATTAGAGAAGTCATACTAACAAATCATTAATGTTATTTATTACAACACACCTAACGTGAAACTAGACTTAAATAACAAAAATAAGTAGGCATTTTGGAGTTGGGGTTGTCAACAGTGATTAAGTAAAAAATAAAATAAAATATTTGAGACTATACCAAAAGTGGAGAAAACATCCATTTAATCAGTGGCTTCATGGAGAGAATGAATTATTAACCTTAAATGTATGTTGTGCCATGACTGTGATCTTTACAGTTGAAATTACTAATCCCCAGTGTGTCTAAGAACCTGATGGAGCTCACTGACAGCTACTGATCATCTGTCTGATGGTCTTAGGCTTTTAGCCACTTAGTACCTTTTTATATAGCTAGCTTTCTCGCTGGTGTTTTTGTAAGTGGTGTATATTATGACTTAAGAATGAAAATGTTATGTCATAGTTTAAAAAATATTTAACAGAAAAATTATTGTCAGAATAATCTTTACAAATTGAAAAGACAAATATAACAAAATTGCCCAGTCAAACACACCAAAATAAATGCATGAAGAGACGATCTTTTTATTTTGTATGCTCTTTCTGATGATGCCTGTTGATCAGTGCACAGTGCAAAACATTACTAATAGTACCTTCATTGTCTTGTGTGATAGTTTTTGGGCTGTTTCTTAACAATGGAAATAATTTTCAGTATTAAAAAAAAATCTTTGTTCTTTCTGCCTCACCCTGAGTCTACAGCCTCCTTTTGATCCAAGGAGAGTTTGACTCACCCTTTTGTTTTGCTATATTATTTTTCTAGATCAGGAAGTTCTCTTCAGAATCACTTACCATAATTAATATTGATTTTTTTTTTAAACAGGAAAACTATTTTAAAAGAATATGTAAAGTCTTAGGAGGAATCTGTTCCTTTCTTACTGTTAATTCCTTTCCTTTCTCTTGGTTTCCAGTCAAATGTATTAGTTGATGATGAATCCTTAGCACAAACCTGAGTGAGAATCTCATGTTACTGAAGCATATTTTTAGCTCAGCATATTCTTAGTTTTTGAAAATTATATGCTTAATTTTATATTTTATCAAAAGAATCTTAATTCAAGGTATACATTAATCAGAATGGAAATTAAACTAAGTGCATAGAATAATAAGTAGTAGACACAAGTAAATAATATACGTAAGTAACCTGTAAGTAAGGTACCTGGTTTATATACTGAGTTATCATAGCCCACATGCATACGTAATTTACCTAGCAAAAGAAGTAGAATCTGTAAGTAACATTCTTGCCTAACTGGGTCCTCTTAGTGTCTGTTTCCCTCAGTGTCTGTGAGGATATGCGGTCTTTTAGAAGGTGTAGTCGTGGCAAATTGAGTTTCCTAAATCCTTGTAGCATGCTGTAGTGTTGCTGTCTCCTGAGTTAACAAAGTACCTACCTTCTTCACCACCATAAGTTACATAGGGAGACTGAATCAAATCCACACTTAACTATGAGGAAAACAGGGAAGACTTGTCAGGACACAATACGTTAGATTAGCTGAGGCATTCACACAGCGTTCGCAAGACCTGTGGGAGCACTGTGAGTTTCTGGTGCGGCAGTTGAGGATGACTTGGGATACTGTAGGATCTCAGTAGCAGGTGTCTGTGGGTGACAGACTAAATCTAGTCCTCAGTAGGGAAAACCTCTGTGGCTTGGTCATGCTGAGGGTAAAGGGAGCTGATTGCAGGCTGGTCATGAATAAATATCTCTGTCACTTCATGGGTTGTAGGTGTAGAGTTGCAGGTGACTGGAGAGGCTGGAGGTAATGCTGTGCCTAGGTCACGATGGAGTACAAAGAGCTGCATCGTGTGAGGCCGAGTGTAGCTCTCCAGAGAACTGCAGGTTGGTTGACACAGAGTTTCAGAGCTTGATGGTGCCAAGGTTCTATCTCCTCCCTGCTGCTGGTCACGTGAAGTGCATGCAGGGCTGCTATGCGATGGTGGGATGTGCCATCGCTATGGGACATGGTCCAGCTCAGCAAAACTCTGCTTCCTTCAGCAGAACTGACCTGCTTGGGTCAGCCACGGGGGATGATTGGTTCACCGTTCCTCAAACAACATCTGTCGATCAGAAGCAGTACACGTTGGAGTCTGGCTGGCCTCAGTTACACAGCTAGATTGAGCTTCTTTCTTGTCCAGTCACTGCCACTGTGCTTCCAAGGAGAGCAGAGAGGGGTGCAAGGACAGACAGTCTGATACCGATCTAGCCCTGCATCCCGTTAGAATCCCAGTGAATTTCACTGGAATGGGATCCATGGAATATAGCACAGTAAATACATGGGTTTACCTTTTGGCCTTCATAACTGTTTGCTTAATGCAACCTTCTATATATTCTTCTTTAATTTTGAGATACCTCTTTTTTCCCTTTTTTTTTAAACTTAGTTAAGGATAAAATCCTTTATCCATATTAAACCACTGAAGAGGGGTAGTGCCATCTTAATACTTCATTGTGCAAACGTGTAGAAGAGCATAAGGTGGGCAGAAACAAGAGGCAGTCAGCAAACGGGGCAGGGTTACAGGTGAATGTGAACCTGCTTTCATGAAAGAGCTATTGTGTGCCTGCCAAAGCACCTCTGCTGTCTCATGGATGTGAGGCCAAGAAAGGCCTTACGATTAAAGTGTCAGCTGTGGAATGAGGATCAAAATTAAATACAAAATACTTGAGACACTCCTAACATATTTTATCTTCCTTAGGGAAGTCGTATGACTAAGACTTGAAACATTATTGCACAGTACTAAGGTCTAAGTCTTAAAGTCTATGATCCTCCCTGTGCTCCACTCACAGTTAGGCTCAGCTATGCTTGGTGGAAAAATATGCAAGGAGTTAAATTGTAATGGCAGAAGGGACAATTGTGGATTTTCTGGACTGATGAGTTTGTATTAATCATGAAATTTTAAACAGTAATTTCTACATTAGACTCTATGTATGTGGTTAAGCAGAGTATAGCTAGAAAACCTTAAAGTCTTGGTGACAGTCCAGTGGAATTTATATTATCATAGAATCATCGAATCACTGGGTTGGAAAAGACCTTAGAGATCATCCAGTCCAACCATATCTGTCCACCACTAAACCATATCTCTCAGCACCTCATCCACCCGTCTCTTAAACACATCCAGGGATGGTGACTCCACCACCTCCCTGGGCAGCCTGTTCCAGTGTGTGATAACCCTTTCAGTGAAGAACTTCTTCCTTATGTCCAATCTAAACCTCCCCTGGCGCAGGAGGTTATTATTTCATGTAAATTATGCCAGTGATTGATTGTTCCCCATTTCAAAGATAAATTGCAAGGTATTTCTTCTAAATTCACGTAGCTTCATTTTCTAATTGGTATTTTTTTATCTTTGCTAAATGTAATGGGTATGAAAAGTTTCTCACCCTATACATTTACAGATTATGACTAAGTAATTTTGAATCTGATTGTTTCCATAGTTTCTCAGTGTAAAGTTGTTCCTTCTAAACAGTAGTTCATCCTTATTGCTTTTTTTGTCAACTCTTCAGATTATCGGTGTCCTTTTTAAAACACAAACTTAATTGAACGCAATACTGAGTAAGATTCTCATTAAGGTTTTTTTTACAGAATAGCAGTACCCCACTCCTTGTTTGATACTCTCTATATCACCAGAATATATTTTTACTTTTAAATATTGTGCTTTTAATAGCATTCAGTTGATCTTTTTCAGTGAACCTAATCAATGCTTTGCCTGCCCAATGAATAATGACCTACATTCTTCATTTCTGTGGTACATTATGTTTCATTATATGAAATGAGCTAGAGTTCCTACATAATTTCATTCTAACTACCCTTGTTTCTGCTTTGCACTACACCCTTTTTTTTCAGCAAGTTCTATAAACATCATAATTTTTAGTGTTGTATTTAGCTCCAGATCGGTGTCAGGGATGTAAATAGCTTTTTCAGACTCAAAATTTTGCAACCATTTAATGAGACAAAAAGTGCTTCATTCCACATGCTGTAGCTGACTGCTGGATTTTTGGTCCTGCGTTATCTTAAGGATTAATATACTAAGAGTTAACAAATGGTAGATAAAAGATTGATAAATTTCATTGTTAATGTGAAGAACCTAGTGCTTTTTTAATGTTATTTTAGAACTTTTGTATCTACATTTTGTAGCGATGCTGGTGGCTGAAGATTTAGATCAGACTTTGTTATGTAAGATGGGAACTCTGCAGGAATCCACCTAATTCAACCCAAGTTTCTTTGATGTTTACCTCCACTAATAAAAAATTAGGAGCCTCGCCAAGGTTACATGGTTGTTGAGAGATCCCAGTATGAAACATTCAGAGCTTTGCAGTTTGAAAGTAGCTGAAAGTGAAACCTCTGAGAACTAAGGAAGATGTGGCCTGGGGCACAAACACCGTAAGGTAGCGGTTGCAGAAGGCAATAGATCTTTGAGTGATCCCCATGCCAGTGGTTGTCAGAGAAAAATAAGACTTACCTAAAATGTAAAGCAAAGCTGAATTTTAGTGCATGTGCCTTTTGTTGTTTTATCTGTTAGCCTCTCTGTTTGTTATGTTCCTATGGATAAATAAATAATGTTCTGCATTGAGCAAGCTGTTCTCTGTCACTACCTTTTCACACTGGCCGTAACTCCCAGAGGGTAGTCGATGGAGGGGCCGTTGACCAGCTGGACCTGCTGAGGACACCTGTAACCTGGTGACCCAGTCAAAGTGTGGGGGTGATTCACGGGATTTCTTCTGAGAGAAGTACAGTCTTCTGTACTTTCAAGATGTATGGAAGGCTGCTTCTTTGCTTGAAAGGGGTACCTGCAGAGAGACTGAGAAACAGGTCCAAGGGTCTGATCCTCATGTTTGACACAAGAAGTGTGTATTCAGATTACTATCAACCATATCATTAATAAGGCTGAAACCCATAGAAATTATTTTGCCATCTATCATTAATTTATATATTAATGTGTATGTGTTCCTTAATTATGAATCGTAAGTGCATTATATATGGCGTCACGGTCAGTGGGTGTTTGATAACGGGGTGCTGAGATGCACGTACAAATGCATGACAGGAGAACTCAAAAGCCTTTGAGAAATCGGGGGAGAAGCACATTCTATTTTTTGATCTTATAGAAATTGTAATATGATTATGTATTCTTCATTTTCAGAATGGAGAAACAGGAAAAGAATCAGAAGAAGATAAAGATGCAAACAAGTCCGAAATCAGTGTAGTGTTTGAAATTGCTTTGAAGCGCAATATACCTGTCAGTTTTGAGGTATGTGTTTCACAATTATGTCTTTGCTAAGAAAGTATTTTAAAAAAAGGTGCCACTAAAACTCAGCACAATTAATAATATTAATACATTATGAATATGACAGTTAAATTAATGAAAATTCTAAATAAAAGAATTGGTAGTGTATCAGAGTCTAAGACACTGAAATTTTACTATTAAAGTAGATGCTCTTTCAGAAGTATTAGAGACCTGATGTCTGGCTGCAAACAAGTGGATGGCAGAAAGACAGTTCAAGCATCTTCCGTATAGTGCTGTGGGATTTAGAATCAGTCACACTCAATCTGATTTGAAATAATCTTCCCAACAGTCAGCCAAAGTCTTTGCTTTAACTGTAGGCATTCATACACTGCAAAAGTTCCCACTGGGACACTTTGCATCGATGTGCTGTTTTCAGAAAGTCATGAGTATTTTTATCTTCCACACCGTTTGACTCATGTATCTCTACTTTGACCTTCATGATTTTTTTTCCTCATTTCATATGATTTTATGTATGAACCTGCTCCTGAAACCTTTCTTTACCTTAAGTAATAAATAATATTTGGAATAGCTTCAGTGCTATCAGTGAATTAACTACTAGAGAATGAATGATAGTAACAGGACAATTTTTCCTATGAGAAAGTTCTCACACGAAGAAGTTCTCTGGTTGTAAAGATCTAACGTTGTTGTGGTAGGAACCACCAGACTTTCAAGCTGGTTTTTTTTCCTTTTTTTATTTTAATGCAAAAAAATGCTAATGTAAGTGGCTCTATAAAGTTTTCTTTTTCTGCTTTTTGTTTTACGTTTAAACAGTGTATATGAAGGACATGGGTAGTGCCTATACTAGTGATGGTTATTTTCTCCAGTGCTTTTTCCTTTGGAGTATAGGCAAATATTTGAATGCTAAAAAACAATTCATGCCGTAGCATGCCTTACAGTGTGCTATATGCACTTCACTGACATGTTTGGCCCATATCTGTGAATTGGTCAGTGTCAAAGGAGCTATTTGGGCCTTCTTAGGAATCTGAGAAATCTCCCAGAAGGGAGGTAAGAGAGCCAAAGACAAAGAATATTGGTTTTGACTAAGGAATTTCTCAGTATAACAAACGTGTGTGTGCTTTCTAGGTCTATATAATATGGACCAATTAGGAAGTTAAGAGAATGTTAATTCTTGAGGATAAAACCGGGGTGTCTGGGGGTGTTGATGTATCAATTTGCAACGACATGGAAAGAACATAATTCTCATAAGATCAGACATAATGGAAACACATGCCTGTGTTTCATAAAGGAAGCTCCTGATTAATGTTTCACTTTTCACACATCATTTTCCACCTTAAGTATTTAAAAGTATTTGGAATAGTTCCATACAAATCAATACACTAAACTACAAGCACATGTAAGATTATATGTCACAGAATAGCTTGGAAGCTGGAAAGAAGAGGGATAGTGCTTTGAATGTCTTTTGAACTTCATTCCTGTGTTTCAGCTTATTTAAGGGAGAGCGTAAGGTAAGGAGACAATGCAGGCAGAGATACTTAGTACAGGAAAATTCTTATGTGTCACTTGCTAAAGAATATTAACAACTTTGAAAAAAGACAGTTTCTTGCTCTCCTGACAGGTTTTGTATTATTTCCTGCCTTTAAACCTAAGTATAGGTGACATTCTTAAATAAAGTTTTGATTGAACTTGGTACTGGCTTATATTTCAATAAAACTGCTAAGCAATTATGGGTAATCCCCAGGATCTAATGTTTCTAATAGGATTTTATTTACAAATGGTTTTGTGTTATTCCAGGCAGGCATCAAAGCTTTCTCTAGTGTTTTTTTGGGGGTTTTTTGTGCAATAGCTATAAAATGATCTGCCTTTCCTTCAGCTGATGAAGCTTTAGCCAATGTTCCAGCAGTGCTGTGTTATGTAACGAAGCAATAGTCATAAAGATATGTAAAGTTCTATGTAAACATGTCCTCAGAATTGCACAAGGGGTGGAGAATAGGGAGAGAATGCAGAAGCCAGTGGGTTTCTTCTGTCTATCCCATTTCATGTAATATGGCTAGTTTTAATTACCTAGGAACTTTAGGACAAGTTTTAAGGAATTTCTATCTATTAAATTGTTAACTAAAAATCATTCCGTTCTAACAAAGAACAAGATTTACCCCATAGTTCTCACTGGTGCATCCTTAGCTAACCTTTATTCACCAAATTTTAAGTCAAAATGCAACTCCTCTAAGGCAGTTGTGGGTCTCTCAATGAGCAATTTTTAAAGAGAGATACAAAACTGATTGTTGGAGGAATTGTTAGAATAGCTGTAAAGTGGTCATTTTGCCTTTTATTCCCTCCTTGGCAGTGAGCTAAAAACTTGCTTTTTTCAAGTCTCTTGCAACATGCAAGGTTTTTATTTACAGTTTGTCAGTAAGGACTAGGGGGTGAGCCTAGAAGACATAACTGTGCTCAACAGTTTCAGGTATTAGAACCTGGTTGGGTGTTTCAGATTGTTATTTTATTTTCAGTATTTTCCTTTGGATTGGAGTATTCTTGCTTTGGAATAGCAAATACAATATCTTTTTCTCATGCTCAGTATCAGGAGTGAGGGGATAGAGTGCCTGAACAGGCAAATTTTCTGCCCCTCGCTCCCCTTCTAGTGTTCTGCTGGGAAAAAATTGCAGTTTCTTGTGTCCCAGTCTTATCACAGTGAGGCAGATATTCTGTATTTCGAACCAGGCACAGACCAAATTTCTGACGCAGGGAGGCTGAGGAAGTTCTCAGTGGGAAGTTTCACACCCTTCTGGCTCCTGCTCTCCTGGGGATTAAGGCTTTCAGACTGAATAGCTCTCATTGGGATTTGGTGTGATGGTCACCCTTCCCCACTCCAGTTTTACTAAAACATACAGACTTGTTTTTTTTAAACTGGGAAAATCTGGTGGGTTTGTCTGCACAAGCACATGGAAATATATTGGTATTTTAAAACTTCTAAATAATCATGGATTATTCTAGTTATTATAATAGGTGACATGGTTTTGTTGACCTGTTTTTTATCTCCATTATTTTTTTTTTTATGCCCATGTTGTAATCTTTTGAATTTTCTACCTGGAGTCTCATTAATAATTGAAGCAGCGTTGCTCTTTCATTGTAATTGTACTGCTGGTTTTCATTTGTCAGCGTGATTCATTCAATTGAGCCAAATTCACTCTTGATGTAACTTGACCTTAGATGTGTTTGTCCCCATGTGTTTTCTCTTGCTGGAGTTATTCTTTCAATCAGTGGAACAGAAAAAGAGAAGTGTATTGAACTGTCACCCTCAATCAAATTCTCAGCTTTAAATTAACCATGGTTTGGTCCATGGGTCTTATCTTTCAACTGAGCAAATAGTTTGATGTACCAATGCATATAGTGTTCTTAGATAGTGGTGTGGTTTAACCCTGGCCGGCAACTCAGCACCACACAGCCACTCTCTCACTCCCCCCATGGCAGGATGGGGGTGAGAATACGAAGAGTAAAAGTGAGAAAACTCGTGGGTTGAGATAAAGGCAGCTTAATAGGTAAAACAAAAGCCACAAGAATGAGCAAAGCAAAACAAGGAATTCATTCACCACTTCCCAGTGGCAGGCAGGTATTCAGCCACCTCCAGGAAAGCAGAGCTGCATCACGCGTAACGGTTACTTGGGAAGACAAATGCCGTAACTCTAAATGTCCTCCCACTTTTTCTTCCCCCAGCTGTATATGCTGAGCATGACTCTATATGGTATGGAATATCCTTTTGGTCAGTTGGGGTCAGCTCTCCCAGCTGTGTCCCCTCCCAACTTCTTGTGTACCCTCAGCCTACTCGCTGGTGGGGTGGGGTGAGAGGCAGAAAACCCCTTGACTCTGTGGAAGCACTGCTCAGCAGTAGCTAAAAATCCCTGGGTTATCAACACTGTTTCCAGCACAAACCCAAACCACAGCAACATACCAGCTACTGTGAAGAAAACTACCTCTATCCCAGCCAAAACCAGCACAGATAGCAAAGGCTGAACTTCTTTTTAGTGTTTTCTGTCCCTAGGCTTATAGCAAAACTGCTTGAAATCATGTGGAGTAAAAAGATCTAAAATCTGGGATTAACCAAAAATGTTGTTCAGTAAATACTTTTTTTCCTAAGGTACCAAATTTCGATGTTTAACTTGATCTGGATCCCATCTGAATTCTATGGGGTTCATTCCACTGACAACACAGACTTTTTTTCATTTACACACTAATAAAGAAAGTTTTGAATGTTTTCCAGGCAATTATTTACCTTGTGTCACATATTTAAGAGTCTAAAAGATTAAAACCGCACTGGAATACATTAGTTTTATATTAAGAAATATATCTTCATGTATATGAAAATGTAATCTGGTTTTGCATTAACATTCTTTTTCAACTATATATTTGTGTGTATTCGTATGTATGAGAAGACTTATATAAACTAGTATTTGAGGAACTCAGCAATTATATTTCTTATTTTCTCCTTTTTCATCTGGTCAATATAGACATTCTTGTATAGTTTATTAATACATGATATTGCTTGTAAGTAGAAGCACCTATATAATGGTATTAGTAAGACCACAAAAAGATTAAGGATCTTAGTAAGGTTAATGTAGCCGTGTTTTACGGCCAACGTGTTGTAGTACTTGGATGGCTTGTCCCAGCTGTGGTGGAGGCAGTGCAGGCTCCCGTGGCTCAGAGTGGGTCAGTGCCTCAAAAGCACCACTACCTTCTCACATGGTGAAGCACTAGTGGGAAATTTTCAAGTGAGGTAATCCTGAAAACACTTCTGAAATTATTGTCTGGAATCTTACGGGGGGAACGCTCCTAGACTACAACAGAAAAATCCCATGCTGGCACAGATGTCATCTTATTCTGGGAAAATGCGGACAAAGTTGTCTGTTAATTTTCATGTTGTGTCTTTTTATTGATATATGCTGTGATAATTGTATTTGCTGGGTGAAGTTGCCACAAAAGAGAGCTTAAAAAAGAAATACAAGCCTAAGGAGACCTCATTACAGTGTAACAGCAAAACTAAATAATGCAAGGGACATGACCTTGATAAAAAGAACTTTAATGCAAAACATGTTGCAATAATATTAAGGTTGAAGGTTTCAGCCCATTAAAAATACAGTTATTACACCAAGAAGTCCCTAGCACCTTTACCTCAGTACCCTTACTCTCAGGCCTTACACTTGTTCAGAAAATGGTTTGATGTAATTGCACTCACTGAAAAAAATTATGTATTTGTATTGATTTGAAGTTAATACAAAGAGGTGCCTGTCATAGGTTCTAATGTCTCCTTATACACATTATATGTAACGAAGATTAAATTAGGTAGCTGCTTCCGCCCATCAAACAAAATGACTGAACCTTTTCCCAGATGAGGTCTCTAATTCCTGATAGACATTATCCAGACCGGTAAATGGTGCATACATGAAGAGATGGCTATCTTAGCACTTGCAGTGCTGTAATTTTTTTGGTGAATGAATCGTAACAGTATAACCTCCTGAGGAGACGTGTGTGTGAACAAGTGAAGCCAGAAAAGAGCTAAAGGAGGTACAGTGTTCAGAACTTTATTTTTTTCACATTATTTTAACTTTTGATAGTGGAGAAGTACTCAAATAGGTTTTCTCATTGTCATCCTGAATATGTTTGGAAGGGAACGGATAAATTAAACTTTTCAGAACTGATTGTCTTTTCTGCGAGTTATGGTGGCTCTTTTAATAATTCCTTTCGCTACTCTTGGGGGGACAATTGACAGTCATGGAAGCAAGACTCTGTCAGCCTGTCAAATATAAGGCATATCTCTCTGAGTTCCATACTCTGACAGGGTAAGAGTGAAGAGCAGGCATGGTGCCTGCAGCTAAAACAGCTTAAATGTACAGACCTTTGAGGCTGAAGTTTGAGGTCATAGAATCATCGAATGGTTTAGGGTGGAAGAGACCTTAAAGACCATCTAGTTCCAACCCCCCTGCCATGGGCAGGGACTCCTTCCAGTAGACCAGGTTGCTCAAAGCCTCATCCAGCCTGGCCTTGAACACTTCCAGGGATGGGGCATCCACAGCTTCTCTGGGTGACCAGTTCCAGTGCCTCACCACCCTCTCCAGGAAGAACTTCTTCCTGATATCCAATCTAAACCTCCCCACTTTCAATTTAAACCCATTACCCCTTTTCCTGTCACTACAGGCCCTTGTAAAAAGTCCCCCCCAGGTTCCCTGTAGGCCCCTTCAGGTACTGGAAGGTGCTATAAGGTCTCCCCGGAGCCTTCTCTTCTCCAGGCTGAACAAGCCCAACTCTCTCAGCCTGTCCCCCTAGCAGAGGGGCCCCACTGAGCATCTTCGTGGCCTCCTCTGGACGCGCTCCAACAGAGCAAGAGATCATGACTAACATCCTGGCTTCTGATAAGAAAAGAACAACATTTAGAAGGGGTTGAAGTGATGCCATATAAATATAGTTTTGAATATGTTGTATGGAGATAAATAGCCAAAGCCTGGTGGACCTTCATGAATTTCTTTAGTACATTTCTTTTTCCTTGCAAGGAAAAACCCATCAGCCTTGTTGTAAATATGCATTATTTTATTGTTGTATCAATCTTTTTAAAAATATACGTCTGTTGTATTTTCTGTGAAACACTGAATATGATGGTTACATCAGTCTTAATTTTCTATTCTCAAACGTGGTACTGTTATTAATAATTGTCCAGATTTTATGAAAACCCATCTAAATTGCCTTCAAACAGCAGGAAAACTACATTATTAGTAAGTACATTGCAGAAATACAAATATTAAGTTATATTCTTGTGGGGTGATTTGACTCACTTATTTTTGCTTAAAAGGTGATTAAGGAAAGTGGACCTCCTCACATGAAGAGCTTTGTTACACGAGTTACAGTAGGAGAATTCACTGCAGAAGGAGAAGGCAACAGCAAGAAACTCTCAAAGAAACGTGCTGCAATGTCTGTCCTACAAGAACTTAAGAAACTTCCTCCTCTTCCTGTGATTGAGAAGCCAAAACTTTACTTTAAAAAACGTCCAAAAACAATATTGAAGGTATGTGTCCGCCTTTGACAGAATTAAGAATATTTGCTCAGCAAGTAACGGTTACTCATATTTTAAATCAGTAGAGGGTTATTTGTCATTTTCTGTTGATACTGTTAGGTGTTTTCCTGTGCTAATATGCCTGTACTTTTTAAAATTCTGAGAATGCCGTGAGATTCTCAAACATAATGACTTGCAAGGTGCTCGGCTTAAGAACCAAGCTTGCATCACTGAGGTCTTCAGGGATTTGGTTCAAGTCTAGTGGAGGATCAAACCCTCCAAGCAGCTCTGTACAGGCATGTGAATTTTTAGCATCATCTCCTCAGGAAGGCCCTACTAGCACTTATGGTCGTTCTTTCCCTGGTCTTTCTCCCTCCCCCAGTTTGAAGAGAAAGAGAGATATATGGGGAAATGTTGCACAGTACAGCTTCCTCCCCTCATGGAGCTGGTTTTTGGGAGTTTTGTGACTTCAGATTCAATTGGTTTTGATTTTTCAAAGGTTTGAAAGAAGGCCAAGAGTACCTTGACATTTCAGCCTAGTGTGTCACTTGTCAAGCACTTGTTTCATGTCCCTGTGTTTGATAGTGCTCTTTAGCTCTCACATACAGATAGAAAAGTGACTGGAGACCAGCCCATGGAGAACTTGTGGACTTTGAACCATGCCTCCATTAAAATATGCCCTGTCTCAGAGGATATTAATATGCTTCTTGCTGCACTGATGAGGCTTCTTTTAGATGCTCTGGATTGTTATGAGCTCAAGCTTCTTAAATGGTGCTTTTATTCTTGGTGGCAGTAGCTTTATTGCTACTTCTACAATTCAGTCACTCTGTGGCAATTAGCCCTGTTTTGTCTACTCATCCTGAATTCATACAAAATCAAAGGCTCATCTGAAGTAATTAGTCTTCTAAATGATCTAACAAAAGTAGCCACAGTGTCTACATATTTATGAAGCATCACTGCCTAGTCTCTGCACTGAACAACTAATCAGACTAACTCATCTGTTCAGTACAGAAGATGACGCTTTGGAAGTGACCAAAATCTGCCACATTTCATTTTATTTTACAAATACTATTTTGTGAAGAAGTATTTAAACTCTTTGTATAGGATACTCTATTGTCTGGTTAGGTTGGACAGTCATTTAGGTATACCTAAGGGCACATTTATACTTTCATACTCATTTTAGGTTGGGGTAAATAACAATGGGGAGTTGCTCACTTTCTCTCTGGTGACTTTACCCCATAATGTGCAGATCAGGAACCTTGAGACTAGAATTGCAGGAAGAAACAGGAAAACTACATGTCCAAAGCCTGTGCTTCAGGATATAGTTGTAGGACCTAAATTTCATCTCTTGTTGGTTTAAAAAAAAAAATCTTCAGTTTTTCTGAGTATTTATGTCCACGGCTTGCATTGTGATTGGACAGCATTATACAGGCATGATATGGCTTGAACTCAGTCCTCATCGAGTGTTATATTGATAGATGATTGTAAAAATAAGTAAATCAGTACATACTTTACTAAAAGTATGAGCATCAGAAATCTGTATACTGAGTATCCCAAGTACAAGAGTTCTGCAGGAGCAGCCAACAGAAAAGCCATCTAAAATAAGCAAAGACTTTGGAGATTCCAAAACTGGGTTTGGAAAATGTACAAAGGACTTACTTCATCATCTTCCTCTTTTCTTTTGCTTTCAAAAAAAGAATAAGCAATTAAAAAAAAAAAAAACCCAAACCAAACCCTAGGTTAATTAGATACCTGGCTCCTACTGAAATTCTGGGGATTTAATTCTCAAAAGCTTCTAGGAAAAAAAATGAACATAAAAAATTATTTAATGGAAATCCATCAGCGTTAATGCAGCCTTAAAGCTGCAAGATCTGAAAAGGCTATTGGCTCTAGCTGTCTCATTTTGGAAAGTGTCCCTCAAGAAAGATGCAAAGGGTATAATAATGTAAAAGTCTCATATATTACCATATACCATTTACCGTTACAGTCTTAAACTGAATTATCCAATTTTGGCCATGTTAGAAAAAGACATTATTAGTCAAAATAACCTGGGTATGAGAATATTTTTAATTTTTGAATATCCAAACTGAAATGCTTTCAGTGTGCCCATTTCTTTTAATTTATCCTGCACATGTTTTGACCCTCAAAAAAAAAGTGACAACAATAGCTTCTTTTTATTTGTACGTATATTTATGAGGCTATATCTTATGGCCTGCACTTTATTTAGCCTGCTCTGCATTTTATCTCTGCCTGGCTTCTTGCCCACACAGCTGCCCTTGTACATGACATTGCCTTAATTCTTTCACCTCTATCTTCTCTAACAACTTCAGCAGTTACACTGTGTAGGATTCACTGCACAGCTTTCTTAATATAATATCCCGTCCTGGTCTTTGCCTTCAGTTGCTGATCATCTCTTTTGGTTCTGGGCCACTTGTCTGTTCTTATTTGAGAAGCTCAAGCATGACCGCTGATCTCTTCTTATCCGCAAATAGCTTCATGGAAAGGAGATAGCTCAATCACATAAAACCAATTCTACATTCAGATGCCATTTAGATTTGCAAGTTCATTATTTCTCTTACGGTATATGTATCGGTTAAATAGGACTTCAGATAAATTTTTTGAACCAGGTAGTTTGTAAGGACTGTAGTTCTTCACCCATCTGTAATCTTGCACAGACCAGTCTCTCAGTCCTTTTGTTTTCCCCCTGTCAGGTCAATTCCCCCACCAACCATACATTTTGACATGCTATTGTGATGATTATCATCTGCTCAGAATTTGTGAGTGGCTTACAATATACAGTGTTTCTAGCCATTGGAGATGCTCCTCTCTAGCTTGACTACATAAAAGCATTTTGAGGGTGAATTCCTATGACACAGAGGGAGAGTAAACCTCATACACCTTTAGTTGCATTGTAGGATGGAAGGTGGGAGTGCTGAGAAGGAAGGCAGGAGGGCTGAGAGAGGCAGCTTCCTTGTTTTATGGCAAATCTTTTTTGTCCCCATGTAAATCCCACCTGTTCTTAGTGTACTGCATGTCCCACCATTGTATCAACCAATTCTAAGAGGTTAGGGGGAAGGGGCATAGGAATAAGGCGATGAGATACAATTGACTGCTGAATCTGCTGATTTTCATCCACCCCCATAGGACCTCCACAGATGGATGAGGGTGTTAGTAGCTTACATATGGTAGGTATGCACCCTACCTGCAACAGTGGGAGACAATAGGTGCACATTTTTTGCCAGTTTTGAGCTTGAGGATTCTTATCTTCTGTCTCATGATCAGAAGATGGGAAGGAATTTATTCCTTATTCTCTCAAATGGAACATTACAGAAGAGGTAACTCTAGTAAATTATTTATTGAAGCAGCGTAATAGTTTTATGGGTATATGCTGAAATAATGGCTCTTTCTTTTAAACCTGTTTTAGACTGGACCAGAATATGGTCAAGGGATGAATCCCATCAGTCGTCTGGCTCAGATTCAACAGGCCAAAAAGGAGAAGGAGCCAGAGTATGTTCTTCTTTCAGAGAGAGGAATGCCTCGCCGTCGAGAGTTTGTTATGCAGGTATCGTCTGCTGTCACGTTAGAGACAACCCCCTTGCTATGTTATGTTCAAATTCAAGCAAAATAGTGGCACAATAAGAAGCAGATCTCTCTGTGTTTAGCGCTTTGCTTTATGGTCAGTTATGCAAGAAGAGTAATACAGTATCAGAAAGCTATTTGAACCTTCTTCTTTCTGTTGGTGAAACAAATAGCAGTTAGGTTCTGTGCCTTCTAGATGCTTTTCTGGTAGTGGTTTTGCATTTTTTAATACTGTTCTTATTTTCATTTCACCTGATGGTTTCTGACTTTATCCCTGTTGGTTGATGATTTATTTGCTTTCACTTATCTTTTTAAAAAAATATTACTTTTGCTCTTGTTGGTCAGAGGATTGCAATATGAACAAATATTCTGAAATATGGATATGAATATCTCCATATTATCAGGCATTTTAGTTTAAAAAAATCGTGTTGTAAATCTTGGAAGAACTCATTTCAGAGTCTCAGTGTCATTGTGGCTTTGTTCATATCTGCAATACCACAAAAAAAGCCTTCCCTCACGTGTTTTGGCCTGTCCCAGTTAAAGAATCTGGACCTAATACAGAAACAGCGGATCATTAATTTTTCTTTAATTTTTAAATTAAGAACATTCCCAAAGATTTGATATAACCATGAAGATTTGATATAACCGTGATATTTTGTTAGATAGCACAACAGCAGGTTAAGAAATATTAGGAACAGGAAGGAAATCTTTTCTCTTATGTTTTCACTCAGGGGAACAATTCAGAACAGCATACCTGAACATGTTTTGACTTGTCTACAAACCACACCAAAATGTCACTTGTGATCACAAGGAGAATTTGTGATGTTCCAGCACCTCCTTCTCCATCAAACTAGTTATGTTTTCACTTAAATGTTTAAATCCCTCCTTCATGTCAATCAAGATAGGCTAGCAATCTTCATTTCCTTGGACTTCAGTGGTCTTTCTTGATGATTTATTGTTTTTCTCTCTGAAGCAAAAGAAGACATTAGGATCCTTTTGTTACAGAATCTGATTTATGAGTATAAACTTGGATTTCTGACTTTTTATGCTATGTGAAAGTACTTGAAAAAGAGTGATCCTGTCACAGCCCATCCCTTTTCCCTTGCTCAGACCCCCGTGGGAGTGTCCACAGTTAGAGATGGTTGTGTGAGTCAGAAGAGGACCATGTAAGACAGTCCAGTATGAGAAAGATGGGCTGAGAACTTGGTTTTCCATTGGAGGAGTCTTAATAATGGCAAAATTTTTAGTTTGAATTAAAAAAAAAATAATCCTAAAAACAGTGACGACGTAGAAGATTCCCTTGTCTAAGATGAAAGAAAGAGTCAAAGAAATTCCATAGATTAGTTGCTTTATTTTGTATACTTTTAAACACCATAGCCTCATTTCTACTCTTTTGTGATATTTTCACACTAAAATCATACTGCTGTTTCTCCCGCCTTCAGGAAGTCTCAGTGGATTCATTATGACATGCAAAAAACCTTATCAGAATAAAAAGCCTTTGTCTAAACTACTTAAGCAATGTTTTCATTTAATTTAATTGAATGTGGAAGTAAAATATCCAGAGATAATATGTTCATTTTTATCTGTCACACAAAGAGCAAGTTTAGATGTGATGAAATGGATCCAATTACTTGTCCTGACCACTAGATAAACAGAAGAAAACCTCTGATGACATTAGTTGGTGTTCTGTTCCCAAAGTTAATTTCAGAAAGCTCTTTCTCTTTGTAGTCAGACCTTTAATCCTTGATAGAGGTTATAATAATAGCTAAACCAGTTTTACAGGTCTGAGAAATAGCAGCACATTGATTTATTGTGAGCTATGTTATAAATTATCATTTTGTCTTGTCCCATTAAAGTCCCTCCATTTTATTGCATATAAACTTGTAGCAGATTGGCTGTTTTCTAACTGCAGTTGTGGAACTGCATGAAAGATAAGGTTTTTATTTCAAGATTATTAATATTTCTGTCTTAGGTAGCCGAATCTTTTTGTTTAATTATATATGTATGTACTGTGAGGGGATATTCATGTCATGGTCATTATTATTTATTTACAACCTCCTCTTTTTATGTAGAATTAATTGGCACTTGAGTAAAGAAAAATTAAAGTTTTTAGGATAATATATACATGAAAACTTGAGGAAAGTGAATCATTATTAAATAACATAAATTGCTAAATAACATTTGTTAATTATCTGACAATTGTATGTCTCTTTTTACATTTTTTTAAAGCTCCTCCCAATCTGTTTGAGGTCTTGGACCTGTAAGGTTTCTTTTATTCAGATAATCTTGGCTATTTTATTATTTTTCTTTTATTTTGGTTTCATTTTTTTAACACACTTTGGAAACCATACACTATTCTAAGAGAAAAAGTAAAATGGCTTAGTGGTCAGAGTGAAATACAGCTATCAAAGACCTATGCATATTGCATAAGAGAATGGTGATGACAGTGCTGATATCCCGAACTAGACACATACAGCTTCAGGAGTTTAAGAACGGCACAAAAGCCAAGGAAGGAGTTAGAGCCGCAGTCTTCATAGATATCCTTTGTCTACAGTTTGTCTTGATTTTGAAGTTTTAATTTCTCCTGGTTTCATGGAAGGCCTCTTGCTTGTCATAAACTCTTTGTGCAGTACAGCCCACAGGTCCAGCAAGAAGCCTTCTTTCCAAAGGCTGTTTCGATAAAAGCTTGTCAGGTGGAAGTGGGGATGAAGAACGTAGCCCCAGCCCCTGTGTTCCTTGCGGTGTGACAAAGTGAGAGGAATGTGAACATGGTTTTCATCTTTCTTTAGAAACCACTCTCATTGAAACCTCCACGTCATTGTTTGTCTCTCCCTTGTTCTGGATACTGTCCCGATGATGCTGGGGAGCTGCTGCAGGCAACACTCCTACAAGGACGAGGAAGTCCAGATCCTGTACTGCTTCCCATGTTAAGAAGGAGGGGGGAGCAAGAGTGGGGGAGAAGTTGCAGGGAGAATGGGTTGACACAGGCTGGTGGAAGAGGGAGACAACTGTGTGTGCACTCAGATACAGGAAAATGTAGCACTTTGGTACGAGTTTGGGGACCACCTGAAAAATCTAAACGAGCACCTCGGTGTGAAGTGGTATTGTGGTCCCCTTCTGCGCTATTCTTACCTTTCCAAGGTTGCATTGTCATCAAAAGAGCTGACAGTTGTTGGTAGCTCAACAAGATTATTACATAGTGGTATGAAGGAGTCTTCCATTTATCGTGATTATGATCAATGTTTTCTTTTTAAGGTAAAAGTAGGCAATGAAATTACTACTGGAACAGGTCCAAACAAGAAAATAGCTAAAAGAAATGCAGCAGAAGCAATGTTGCTACAGCTGGGTTACAAAGCCTCTACTCCTCTTCAAGACCAGCCAGAAAAGGTGAGAAGCAATTGTTGTGATGCCCACATTTTGCCCTTGTCTAAATTTCTTAGCTGTGTCAGCTAATCACTTAGTAAGAATAGAAGCTTAAACTAGTGCACCCCTGTTTTAGGAGGCTGCTTGCCAGAGATTGGCCTTCATTTAGCTGCAGCTCTATAGCTACAGTTAGTAGTAAGTGCAGCCTCTCCTCCTGGAAGAGTAGTTAAGAACAGTAATGTAGTTCCAGAGGATAATGTGTATGCAGAAGTGAGGTGTGATGTGTGCACCAATTTCTACTTAGAAAACAAGGGAGATCAGGGAATCAGGATGAACGTGCCTCTCGCTTTTATTCCATTTTGGGCATCCATGAGAGGACTGAGAGAAATGATGTTACTAATTTTCATACACAAAGTAGTCATAGTAGTCAGTGTTTGGCTTCCTGTTGCATACCCACTAAAAACATTCCAGAAAAATAATGGCCTTTCAGGTTTGATGACTGAGGAAGAAAATGTGTGTCATCTTTTTTGTGGGAAAGGAATTACATATTAAATTTGTGTGTGTTGCAGGTGTGTATTTCCATATTAGTGATGTGCAACTTAGCACTCCTTTCCTGTCTTGAGTTTATGGATGGAAGGTTTTGTAACTAAAATTAGGTGTTAAGGTTTTGCCTTTTGTATCCTGAAAAGATATTTGGTAAAGTATTTGGCTAAGCTGAGGACTCAGCTTGTGTCTTATGCAGAGTCACTGCATCTATGTATTTTGATCATGGCTTAAATGTTTACTGCGGCTGCACCAGCTAGCTCAAGTCAACAGAATGTTCTGCTACACTTTTCTAGGCACCACGTGGTAAATATGAACATGGTACATATCTATATATATCTTCTGAAACACCCTTTCTCTTTTAAATAAATAAATAAACACACACACACACACATATATGAAGATGCTGTGTTTTATATGTTCTGTACTCCTAGCCAGGAAAACATAAATGCCATACTGTTTAATTGGCTCCACCTCCTTCTGTTTCCCTCTCCTTTGAGACGAGCAGCTCGATATTTGCTAGTCACACTTATCTTTGCTACATTCTTCACTAGATATCTTAGTCATATACAAGTGTGCAGTACTCGAAACAGAATACTTGGAGTCTAAATGATGTTCCTAGTGAGAACACACTGTGCAGTCATAGCCATTTTAGAAAAGGCTTATGACAGAGTCAAATGATAATTCATTTTCACCAGAATGCTGAGACTTTTCAGCTGTAGAAGATATTTTCTACCAGTTTCAACTTATTCTTCACTGCTATTTTGGCCAAAGGGCTATTTGAAAAACAAAACAGAAAAGTCAACTTTTTTTTTCTCTAATAGGAAAACATAGGTTTTCATTCTGTGATTTCAAGTTGGCTGAACTACTTTTACTCAGTAATTTTCAGAGATAAAGCCTGAAAAAATTTAGCCTACCACATAGTTGCTTTGGAAAGCTCTACGCAGTGGAAACTTGTGGTTACATTGAAATCCTTAAAAAAAAAAAAAAAAAAAAAGTGACTAAAAAGAAGCGTTGCTGCTTCGTTCCCGTATGTTTACTAAACTATTGCTTTCAAGTGTGTTGTCTTTAAAAAAACAGGTTTAATTCCATACTTGCAGACCTAAGTATCTTAGAATTGATAGAATAGCATACAATGGCCTAATGTATGCCTAATATTATTCTGAACACAATGAGCAAACATGATACTGTATCCAAAAAATGTGAACTACTCAGATTTTATGTAGTGGGAGTATTCAAGATCATAGAACAAATTTTTATAGCTTTGTTAGGATTAAGGACATAAAATATCTAGAACATCTGGCTTTATCTTCTGTATATAACAGACTGAACATATTTAAAGCAGATACACAAGTTTGTGTAGATGAAAGCATTTTAATGGTCAAACTAAACTGGGCTGGAGAAGAGGGAAAATAGCCCTTAGATCTCTACAAATTTAAGCATTGCAAAATTCCTTCCATATTAATTGCACAATAAAGATGTGCCATTGGAAGATACTTGTTTCTCTCTTTGAATCCAAAATGGGGCCCAATGTGGATTAGCTGACGTTTCAAGTTGTCAGCTAAAAGGACAATTTTCACTTGTGTTGTTTTTATTCTTTTGAAAAAGAAAACTTCTCTTTCCTCTGTCCCCCTGTTCCCTGAGTCCTTTCATACCCTCCTCCTCCCTTAAGAGAAAAAGAAAACCCAAATTCAGCATTCTTTCCTTAATCCTGGCACATAAAACGTGACTGTATTCATTGTTTTAATGCAGACCTGTTAATAGAGCCATGCATGGTGCTGCTTTGCCGCACAGGTAAACGGGTAATTGAGGTAATGTACGAAAGCAAAGGCTCTGCTCTTTTCTGAGGTAATGGGATTCCTGGAAGAAATCAGTAATTGTTGTGCAGAGCCCTGAGGAGAGCAAGTTGAAAGTGCCCTGGGAGACTTTTTCTAGCTGTCAGAATTTTATCTCAATGGATGAGAATGGAGAGTTACAATGTCTTAATTTTTTCATGTTTCCATCTTTTTCTTTCTTCTTGTCACTTTCATTCTCTCAGAGAGAAGAAAACCAGAGTAGATTGCTTTCATGTGAGACGGCATCACTAGGGATAATTTACTGATCCGATTTCTTGTTAAATGCCCCATCATGATCAAGTTAATAAACAGTAAAAAGAGAGGAATAAGGAGACTTGGAAATGCTCTTCTCATATTGTAGCAGCGTGCTTGTGCTGATTTTACCGTCATGTTATGGATGCACAGTATGGATTCATGACAAAACCATGCTGTTGTAACAGGCAGCCATAAATACAAACATATTTATAGATTTCATGTTGCTTATTCCTTTGAAGAACTGGCATCTTCTATGTTTTCCAATATACATATTATGTGCCTTATCGTATGAATAAAAGGAGTTATGTGAAATTTTAGGAGAGATGGGTGACCAGTTCGAGAGCCAGCCCGAATGCCATCCTCCCTTTCCACCATGTATTTCCCATTCTTATTGCACATGACCAAGGCTGGCATGTGTGTGCACATGATGAGGAAAGACAGGGAAACAAGCATTGGAATAGCTGCTTTGCATAGTGTGCTCTTCCCTCCTCTTTCCAAAGGAAAACGTATCTAGTAGTCGGTGTAGCAAGGTGATGGTAACCTAAGCAGCCTTAACGCAACCTCTGACATGCAGCGGCAGATTTCGACCGGCTGATCCTCCTTAGCATCTCTTCTGCTTTCCAATCAATCCTGTCTTCCAGAGCAGATGATCACAGGTTTTTCAGGGCATATGGACTGCTTTCTGTGAGGTTTTCTGTTTACATACAAAATCCCGGTGAAATCCGAAAAGGATCATTTGTTTCACATTCATCGAGCTGGTTGTCAATAGCTCCTAGTTCATGAGGAAGCTTGGATTTGTTTATCCACACTTACACATAAATCCAGAATGCTACCATCTTATTTACTGTGTAGACTTCAGGGATAGCCTTATTTTGAATTTCTGTCTTCGTTGATTCCTCCCCTTTTCTCTGTCAGAAAAATAGCCAGTATTAAACGTAGTAGCATTCATTTGAAGACAATAAGCTTCCTCAAAAAAGTCTATATGTTAAAATAATGGAAAATTGCAATCTTTTTTCACTTCCACCTCAGTAACTAAATGGATTCCTAGCAAGTAAATGTTTTTAAATTACACCCAAACTACTCTGTAGTGTTTATGCATTCCTTCATAAGCAGATACTAGGATCTTCTTGTTTTCAAATGTAATTTGTGTTGTCTGTGTATGTTTTCAGTTGAGAGCTGCTTAAAACATTTGATTTTAAGTCTGATTTGGTAACATACTGAATTGAGCCTAATCCTTGGGGAAACATTTATATTTCAGTGTTGGGCAATAGTTGTTAATGTTTATTCATGAAGGGTACATTCCTCAAATAACCTATTTTGGAGAAAATGAAGGAAGATGTGTTAGCAAAGTTTCATGAGCAGATGTGGCAATCCCAACTCATCCTTTTTAGAACCTTTCAACTAAATCTATAAACACGAATGTTCTGTTTAAGGAGTAGTTTGCCCTTTACTTGTCTTTTTCTACCTGTTTCAGCTTGGAGAAAACAAGAGTTGGAACGGCCAGAATGTTGGGTTTCCTGAGCCAACAAGTAACAGTAAGTATTGCTTTCTAAATTTGTATTTATAGTAACTTTGTCTCTATAGGATTTGGATTATTTGAGACAATTGAAATGCTTTCTGTAAATATTTTAGAGGCTTTATTGCAATTAGATGAATTAACTCTTGAGTGTCCTTTGTGTGAGTGTAGGTATGAATGAGTGCAGGAACAAGGAGATTTTTGTTCAGTCATTGAATCCTTCAGGTTGTGAGGGATTTGATGAGAGCGCCTAAACTGCTTGCTCAAAGCAGCATCAGTATAGAGTTCCAAGAAAGTTGCTTATGTCTTTTTACCAGTTTTTTTCTAGGACAGGGATTCCATAGCCTCTTTGGACAGCCAGCTCCAATGCTTAGTTATCTTCACATTGAAGTTTTTCCTTTTATCTTAGTCAGAACTTCTCCTGTTTGTTTGTGACTATCATGTCCTGCTCACACCTCAGTACTGTGCCTGGATCTGTCTTTTCGACAACCTCTTCTTAGGTATTGTTACTGGTATTACTGGTAATGGTAATACTTAGATATTAGGTACTGGAAGGCTGCTGTTAGGTTCCCCAAAGCTATCACTGTCCTCTAACCCTGATCATCCAAACAGATTTTCCTCATCTAGTAATTCATCTACCTAGATTCTAACATCATAGCTTGGATACAATGATGCTGTGGGGACATGATGTCAAAAGGCTTGCTAAAGCCACGGTAAATGACATGCACTGCTGATTTATGACTGGATTCATAAATCTAGTCATTTTATCATAAAAGGCAATCAAGTTGTTGAAGCTGGTTTTATCCTTGGTAAATTCATGCTGATTTTTCCCAAAGGCTTTTTTTCTCCCCTGTGTGCTCACGAATGCCGGATTCTAAGAGGATGTACTGCCTCATTTTTTCAGGGACTGAAGTGAGTCTGACCAGGCTACCTTGTTTGATGATGCTGATGATGCCTTTCTCCAGTCATTAGAGACATGTCCTGATCTCTGTGACTTTTTGAAGCTAATAGAGAGAGGCTCACAGTGACAGAAGCCGGTTGACTCTGCACGCTGATATATCCCAATTGATTTATATGAAATATCCAATGGCTTTATATGGGCTGAAAATTTCTCAAAAGATACCTGACTCTGATCAGATCCTGCTACTGCTAGTTTCTCCCTTCCTTGAGCTGTGTCTATAGACACAAACACCTGAGAGACCTTATGGTGAACACCAGCTTCAGTTGCATTGCAATAGGTAATGAATAGGACAGACCTTTGTGACTTTATAACTAGTTTTTTGCTGTTTAGAGTGGTAAAGATAATATAAATAGTACTTCCTTCACTCTTCTGTGAGCCCTGGATTTTTCTTTAGAAATGTGTTGAGTTTTGAACTTCTTAAGAGTCCCAGTCATTATGTCCCTCAACCAAGTATTGTACTGGAGACAGACACACACTATACAGCTGAAGGACATGGTCATAAGAACAGGTTTTAAGGGGGTTCAGTAGTGTTCCAGTATATATTGATAGGACAAGGGTTAGCGGGTTTAAATTGAAAGTGGGGAGATTTATATTGCATATCAGGAAAGAATTCTTCACAGAGAGGGTGGTGAGGCACTGGAACAGGTTGCTCAGAGAAGCTGTGGATGCCCCATCCCTGGAAGTGTTCAAGGCCAGGCTGGATGAGGCTTTGAGCAACCTGGTCTAGTGGAAAGTGTCCCTGCCCATGGCAGGGGGGGTAGAACTAGATGGGCTTTAAGGTCCCTTCCAACCCAAACCAAGTCTACCCACTTTCAATGTAAACCCATTCCCCCTTGTCTTGTGCCTACAGGCCCTTGTAAAAAGTCCCCCCCAGCTTCCTTGTAGCCCCTTCAGGTACTGGAAGGTGCTATAAGGTCTCCCCGGAGCCTTCTCTTCTCCAGGCTGAACAAGCCCAACTCTCTCAGCCTGTCCCCACAGCAGAGGTGCTCCAGCCTTCTGATCGTCTTTGTGGCCTCCTCTGGACTCACTCCAACAGGTCCATGTCCTGAAGAAGAACCAGTATTATTAAGAGTTTTCCCTGCGCACACCTGTAGTCCTTCCCCTAAGCCCCAGAGTCCAAGATAACTTCAGAGCTTTCTAGTCAAGGAGAACTGAGGAAATTTGAAGTGTCTTCTCCTTATGATTAAAAGAATTCATTTGCATGCATGATCTCTCATGTACCTGTGATGTGCAGGGTTTTTTAAAGGCAGTTCCAGATGAGTTCCACTGTTTGAGGTCAAAAAATCACATCCTTTGAGGTATGAATATGCTAGTTTATATTTTAAGAACAACAGTTTTTGGTAGGTGAATATAGCCTTGCAGTGTCATAATTATTGCAGGAAGTTTCAAAGAGGGCATATGGAGCAGCTTCCTCCCTTCTATACCCTAGCTTTTAAGAGAAATGTACAGTTTGCATTTGTTGTTACCCTAAAACCTAACTTTCAGTGGTCTTGAAAAATCCAAGGCTCTGAGATTGCTACATCTACATTTGGCAGCTCTTTCTTAAATTTCCATTGATTATATTCCAGGAAAACAATTGTGTCTTGTTAGGACAACACATTGTGCATCAATTCCCTTTTCAGGCAGATACTCTTTCTTTGTGTGTATAATGCACTGTGTTTCCATCTGAAACTGTAGGAAATAAAACTAGGATATTAAAGTGAAGTTGTATACTTGAGTACAACAGAAAGAAAAATCATAACAGCTATATATTTTACTACAGCTGAAGAACAGTTTTTGTTGTACCCTGATTACATAGTTTGGTTTTGCTGAGAAATACCCTACAGTCCGCATCCTCCTACATACTTGCTCAATGCATTTTTAGTTTTCCATATTAAATATTATTAAATATATTAAATTCTCCCATTCCACTCTATCGTATTACTTTTGCAGCTATCTTTGCGGCAAACTTCACTTCTGTTCCTCCTACTCACTGGCAAAGCTTCTTTCCACAGGTTTACTTCTTTACCTTTGCTCTTCATTTCAGTCTTAAAGATGAAACAAGAAGCTGTTTGTTTCTTGGTCTGGGATATCTTAGACATGTTTCACAGGTGATATACCAATAATGTTGAGTGAGCTTTTTTTCCTGATGGTTCTGGAAGAGACTTTAAGATAGAGTGGGCAGACCACAAGCCTTTGCAGCCCATACAGGTGGTGTTGACTGTCAACAGAGTGCTCATTTGTCTCTGGATTTGACTTAAGCAGTTATCAACAAAAACAAAACATGAAACATGTAAACAATCCTCAATCAAAGTGCATTTTCTTGGGAACGAATTTTGCTTTTTTGTTTCTGGACGGGGTAATCACAGACATCATACAGAATGTGTTCTAGGAGAAGATGTAGATGAGCTAAGAACAAAAATATATAAAAATAAAAGGAAGAAGTAAGATCATTTTTATATATTAGAAATCTAACATATAAATCTGTTTTATATGTTCACCACCCTCAATTTTTCCTAGTATGGTTTTCCTTTGTATATTTCCAGTAATTCTGGGTGTTACAAAGTATTGAAAAATTAATAATAAAAAAAACCACCCAAAAACATTCAGAGCAATCCTACCTCTTTGTAAAGGACAGACTTTGTTTTTCTTGCCTAACATTTTATTACTAGGGATTCGTGCATGACTTTACAGTCTTTGTTCTTCAGAGTACATCTGCTCCTGCTGTTTGTTCACCACCTGAAATCATAATCATTTGTTTGTGACATCACAATTAGTTACTGTGAAGATGATTAGATTGTCATCAACAGATGATTATGATTTCAGATGGTAAATGAGCAGCAGGAGCAGATGATCTCCTAAGGAACAAAGATACTTGATCTCATGCAATTGTTCTCAGTGGAAAGAAAAAAAAAGCAATAAGAAAAAAGCAAGTAGATATTCAGAAGAGTTTCTTAAGTCTGTGTTGATTTGAGCATTTTTCCATAAAAAGCATATATTTTAGTATTTTTAAAAATCTACTTAAATAATAAAAGTTTAACATAAGAAATTAAAAAAAAAAAAGAAAATGTATGGTATTACTGTAAGCCCTAACTGTATGGTTACATTCAAATTCTTACTTAGATGTTTCTTTACCACTTTTTTTTTTTGAGAAAATAAATGCAAAATAAACAATGTATTTATGGAATTTTTCATACTAATAAATCTTCACTTTGGAGGAAACAAATTTTTTGTGAACTTTACAGTTCTGGCCCTCACTAGTTTTATAAAGACTTTTATTTTATAGTCTTCTACATGTGTTATTTTTCAACTGGGGATTTTAGTGAAGACTTCCAGCGGATAATTTAATACCCTTTTATTTCCACGATCAGCAAATGAAGTCTACAGTTTAAGAATAAAGTTTTTATTTTGTATTTCAGGCATTTTAGACTGGCATTTATATGTATTATATTTTACTGAAATATGTAGTTCTTCTGGGCGCACTTCAAAGGCGATTTGCAGTGGATTGTATGCATTTCTGCTCACAAAGAACTGTGGTTTGTTTGGACTTCACTTTTGAATTGCTTCCAAACTTATTAAACTTCCTCAATTATAATACAGTCTTGCTAGGAGTGAGACTGATACATCACTGCACATTTGTTGAATTATTTGCAACTGAAGAGAAGGCACAGTAAGAGGGGTCGACAACACCGCGTACTGATGAAACACAGGCTACAGAACTGTAGTTTTCCATCTGTTTGGTTTGGGGTTTTTTTGGTTTGTTTTATTTTGTGGGATTTTTAGCACACATACTGTCAGGTGAACATTACACCATCACTGTGTGTTTCAGGGAGCAGCTCCATCAGCTGAGCCACTAGACTACACTCTGTACGTCTCATGACCCTGGCTAGAGTCTCTTACAGCAGTTGGTTATGTTTAGGTAACACCTTGACTCTGTAGCTGCTGAGCTGATGGGCTAACTTAGAACTAAAAAAAAAAAGGATTCATCCCATCTTCTAGCAAGGGCTGAGATAACTAGATTTGTAGCTCGTCTTTCTAACTGAAGACGAAATTTAGCTCACTAATCTAACTGTTAGAAG